CTTGCATCTTCCGTCGTCTTCTTCCCTCACATAGTCTCCCTCCCCCGGACGCATCAAATAGAAACAAATAAGGGATGGAGGGAGACAAAAATCACTTTAGGCAGCGTTTTTCCTTGACACCCGACCCGGGCCATACTTCGGAGAAGTTTTGCTCGGTGCTGCCGCCGCACCTCCTGCCGCCATCTGTGAATCCCACTAGTAAAGAAGGCTGCTCTCTATTTTTCTCCTCATTTCGATCGTTATCCTTCGAGAGAAAAAAAAACTACGCTTTTGGTTCCCCCTATGTTTTGCCCGATAACTTGTTCTCTTTTTTTCTCCTTCTAACATTTTTTGTTCTTCGCTGATTTTTTAAGGGCGATGCTGCTGTTGTTGAGTTGGTGCTTCTTGAATACCTATACTTGCATATCATCAAAAGTTTTAATTCTGTTATCTCAAATTTTATTACACAGTATTTAACAAGTTCAATCAATTCTCAAGCAGTTATAATATAAAATTTGATAAGGTTGCACTGGATCGAATCATTGAACATGTTTCTGATCTGCCAGATCCAGAGGTGAGCTGATTAGGATGGATTGATAATTGTTTTACATGAACAAGTTATCTGTTTGCTTTGCTTATGTCTGAAACTATCTATTTATTTCACATTGTTAATTAACATTATTGTTATCCAGTAGTGGCCATAAGTTATAGGTTCTTACTATGGTTACATTTTTTGTCCTCGAGTTAGCAGGTTTTCCCTATGTTTTTTTCAACTATTCCAGTTCCTTTTTTTTTTTTTTTGTTCTCAACTTGGCTGCGAAGGTTAATGGGTTTTATATTAGGTATGTATCTTCTCACATATTGTTAAACTTGATATCATGGTCGGAATAAGCCAATCTACACCAATAATCCTGCAGCCAACTACTACATAAACATTGCTTGTTATGAAGGATTTTAGAGATTCATTTGTGTATGCTGTAATCAGAGCAAATGATCATAAATATGTATGGTTAATAGGTATGCCTTTACTTCTAGTATCATTGATGCAAATAACCAAGACCTCTTAGTGAAATTTTATGACATCTCTCGGTCATATACTTATATTATGATAATTTTGAATGAAAAAGTAGAATAGTTACTAATACGAGTTGAAGTTGCTTTGTAGTTAAAGGCAGTCATGAAGTGGGTCATAACTGTTAGGATAAGGATCTCTGCATGTATGAGTTAGAATGGACTATTGCATGTAGACAGTGTGCTATTATGTTCTATGTGAAATTTAACAATCTCTTATCTGTTCTTATTTAGAGCTTATCTTTGATATCATTTTTATATGTAGTAAAACTTTAGAACCATCTGCATATTATAGTTTTATTTTGCTTATGGAGTTTCAAAAATGTGATTGTTACAGTCTTTGTTTAAATACTTTTACCAAACAGGGGCAGCATGAATATTTTTCCAGAAACAGCTGGTTTATAACTATTTTCACACAGCTGCACCAAACAAGAGTCAGCTTCCCCGCAACTGTTTCCTCGCAGCAACTTTCTGGGGCACTGCAGCTGTTTGAAATTGTTCAATTCGTTCATTAGAAAAATCTTTATTCAATCGTGTTCGAACTTTTTACGTTTAAAATAATTAAATATTAATATTTATTATAACTTTTTATACTGATTTTATGTTATTTTTTAAAAAAGTTATTTTTTAAATCATTTGAACTAAATTCATGCAGAACATAAGCTAAAACAAATGAACAAATTCGCATTAAGTTAAACACAAACATACTATTCATGCACATTCAAACACAAACATATTTTGACAAAAATAATAAATAAATAAATTCACCAATGAGTATTGAGCTCATTTAAATTCGGCTCATTTAAACACCAACATCCAAAGGCCACTACCACAAATTTACATTCTGAGCAACTTTAATTTTTTTTTATGAAAGCAGCTGTTTAAAAAAAAAAGATGCATAACCACTGGTACATAGAAAGATTTAAGAAAAATTACATCATATCGGACAGAAATTTTCAAAAAATTATGATTCACAAGAAAGTTCTTTTAACCTAGTAACAATTGAGAGAGTCCTATAGAAAAACTTAATTAAAAAGGGAAAATCAATGTAGTTTTTATTGGCTTCTAAGGGGATCATTTTGTTTTCATAAATTCAATTAAAAATTAAAAATAAGGCATCAAAATTACTTTGTAATGAACTTCATATTGTAAGATAGAAGTTTAAAATTTTATCAATAATGAAAATTAAAGCACTGGCATTTTTACAAACTGGTTGAGCTTGTAATATTAAAGATCATCACATTCAATATATAATGAAAACAATCATATAAAAAGAGGTCCCTGATATTTCATCATCAAATATATACAAAAGATGATCCAAAATCATGGAGTTATGAACCTCAGCATGAGGCAATTGCTATCAAATGCATAAGGGTGTATGCAGAATCTAATCAGCTAGCTTCCAATCGATCTGTAGAAATTATATTCTCTACCATCACTTAAATTTTGTGTAATCTTTCAATGCTTTCTCAAAGAAAATAAACTCTATCGAGTTAATTTATAAATAGATATAAAACAGGGATTTCAGGGATTGTCCCAGGCCAACCCAAGACAACACACACTACTATAAGATTTCAAGATGCCACGGATCATCATTTCCTTCAGAAGCAGTAATAATAATTAATAAGAAACACATAATGGCGTTTTTACCTACTTAGGAAGATTCAACGTCATATAACTCTCTGGCAACTTGCACTCTGCCAACACCTGAACTCTGACTGCATCTCTCGTGACAACAACATTAAAACTTCATCTATGAATCCTACGTTGATATGTAAGATTATTAAGATCTAAAAATTTTGTCTTGCCGGCCATGGAGGGCCGGGGGGGGGGGGGGGGGGGTGGTGATACCATTAGATACCAGAAAAAAAACTGATAGGATAACAATAAATAGAGCTAAGATGAGCTATGTTGCCGCAATAACTGAACACTATTATTTACTGAAGTTTCTCAAAACCCCATATAACCTTTGTTGTTATATAGCAAACCTTCCCATAAGCCATCATATCATAGCCCCATAGCATGGAACTTCATAAATTGATTGCATATAGCCAAAGATTGCTCAACTCGATGAAGATACAAATCCCTAACCGGTTAAGAGGTCAACAACGATATGTGGTTAAGTTTTGCTTCCCACATTAAATCCAAACACACTATACAATTATTTGAATCCATCAAAACTTATCAACTTGTTAAACCAACTGACAGTTGGAAAAGTTCAATGAATTGATTTGATATGTTAAAATTGATTTGAGCTCGACTCAACCCAGGCACACAAATAAGGCACGCATCATTACAAAACTAAACTCATCATGTTAACAATGTCAAATTAATTGAATCATCATTAGGGACATGGAAACCACATGTCATGCGGTTTCAATATGTTGGCAAAGTCTCAACTAGGTGATGAAACTAAAACACATTAATCCTCGATCAATTTTCAAGTGTTCGACAAAAATTACATCATATGTTATGCTGAAAAAGTAGGGTTGTAAGAAAACTGAAAATTAAAAATGAAAAGATTAAGCAAGCATGTTTTATAAAAATGCTTTTATAGCATCAAAATTTTAAGAGAAGTGCCCCTAGTCTATATGCTTTTGAAGGATAAATGTCATTTTCAAATAATTACTTATTATTACTGCATAAATCATTCTATAAACTTATTACTGATCTACCTATTTATTTTCTTCATGAAAACATAATCATTAATTTTTAGTTTCATTGAGCGTTTCTAGATAAATAATTGAAATTATTTATTAAAAACAAATTAGGCCAATTTTTTGTCATTTAACCAATTCACTTTATTTCAGTTACCAATAAATTAATTTATAAAAATAATATGAAAAACAAACCTAACAACAATTTCACCAAAACAGCCACTCATTAAACAGAACCGTTATATAAACATTTTTTTCCCAAACAAATTTAAATTGTGATATGATGATTTCTTACTAATTCATAAAAAATGAAAAGAATATTAAGGATTGGTGAAATAAAATATAATGAAAATTTTGAAATGCGTTATATCAGGCTCTAATCTCCAGCAGCAGAATTGACTCATTAGAGCCCTAAACTCGGGCAGTTACAAGTGCGATAATGCAACAACTAAAAAACTAATGTATAAACCCATCAAATGCCCCGACTAGGCCATGGTTGTGAAAGTAAACCTTAGAATTCCCTTATTTTAATCCTTCCACAAACTAACTTCCAAATATACTGTGTATGCCTCAATGCAGCTCAATCTAATATAGAAAAATTATAAAAATACCCTAAAGAAACCTAACAATTAGGAACCAAACTACATGATAAGCCAAAAGAAACAAGAGCACACGATTGACCTGTTTAGCTGCCAACTGAACCAAAAATTAAATTTTTAAGGAAAAAATAACAATGCAACTCACGAAACTGTGACTCACCTACAAATGTAAAATACTAACATTTATAACCAAAAATTAAAAAAGGAATAAAATGCCCTTATATCAATAAGCATGCCAATGGGTCAATTGTCTCATGGTAAATTAAAATGTAATTGTTATGGCACAACCGCACAGGTAACGACAAGCAAGTATTACCATAAACCTATGGAAAGAAAAATGATATATGTCGCAATATGCGTTAAGAGACCAAAACACTACAAAGGATGCGAACCTATATATAGCATACAACATGAAGTATGATGCAAAATCTTAAATGGCTATACTTTTATAAGCTTAAGGCTTTATGCCTTCATAATCCGCCTGCCTGCCCGCCAACCAAAAAAAACACTCTGGATGTTGATCATCACTAGCTAAAAGAATGCAAACCCTAAATTTATAGCCGAAGCTCTTCACAATGCTTATAATTAACATAACCAAACTCGAAAAAATGGCCTGCTTTAACCAGGCTTCTAAAAACAAAAATATATAACAAATTTATTCCCGCATCACGTCAGCTCAGCACAGACGTAAACATGAATTTATGAAAGCATTGCACAAATTTTATGAAACTGCTACATGCAAAACACAGTGCATACTAAGCACAGTATTAGAAGTTGAAATTTATTGCATATTATATAACTCAAAACTTAACTTCTACTTGAACAAACACAAAAATATTTTTAGCCATTTTCTGACCAGAATCAAATAAGCTCTGAATAAGTAATATGACAATGCATTTTATTCTTCTGGAACGACGACGCTGATCTCACCCTTGTCGAGCATGTCATAAAAGGCTCTAGTTTTTCGCTGCTCATTCCAGTGATGCATCTTCCACAGCCCACCTGCAAAAAGGCCTAGAGTGATCCCAATGCATATCTCCTTGACAACACTGGGGCCCTTAAGAGTAGCATGAGCAATCTTGTGTGCAGCCATTGTTTCTCTTTAGTATCAGACAAATACCTAAATAATTCAGTGAAATAGAGAAAATGGAGGGATGAAAACATTCAGAATCAGAACCGTTATATAAATTTCGCATTGAAAGGTGCAGCTCAAATCTATATGGAAGACAAACTCCTATATCAGCATAACTAGTGGTTACAAGCAAATCGTTGTTATTTAAAACTACCTTTCTCTATTGCAAATATAAATTTCATCATCAGCGAAAATAGATCGGGGTCATATTTGGTGGCAATCAGGCAACCCCTAAATAAAATGGTAAAAAATTAAAAGACATTTAAAAAGATAAAAATATATTGCATGGTAGGTGGTTATAAACAAGAATAAGATTGTGACAAACAAAATAATTTAAGTTACATTCAAAATGTAAGTTTTATTAAGGTAAATACATTGAATTTTATTAAATCTGTAATTTTATACTAAAAATTAAGAGTTAAGTATATTAATTTGGCAGTTGAATGGATTTTAGAAGAATCTAAACTCTAGTTCTAGAAACTGTTTGACATATATCAACTTTCTTAACAATCAATTGTCTACTGAAATAGAAGAAATGCAATCTCTATGATTAAATCAAAATATCAAATATCACTGGAGAAATTTAGTTTGAAGAGGGAATAAATTGAGAATTGAAAGGTCTCCATACTCTTCAGCAATCTCAAATTCATAATGGAAGAATTAAAGAACTCCTTTCTTTCTCTATGTTAGCAAGAATAAACATTGTGGTTCAAAATAATTGTATTTCTAATCTAAAATTTGATTCCACAGCCATGTGTATTTGATGTCATCTTCAAGAAAACAAGAGGTTGCATAAATCCAGAAACGGCGTTAAGGAGCTTAATTAGCATCAAAATATGGTGATAAAGGGCTTGCTAAGCTCTTATTATAAGGTATGCCTAAACCTGTATGAATCACAGCACATAGACACAACTGCCAAATTAAATTTCCAAACACAACCTCCATACCAAATCTCATAAAAAAAATCAGATCTAAATGCAATGTGCGAGTTTTCACTGCCAAGAGCTTTATAAATTAGGTTTCACTCAAAAAAGATCTAAATAAATCTAGAAACAAATTTAAGAAAATTTAAGCTAAAAGACAAACTTAAAGAAAAATATGGGGTATTAGAGCAAAGAAACTCAAAGGTACACCTCAATAGCAAGGCAAGCAACCAAGCAAGAATAACGAGCGACCAAGCGAGAGAACCGAGCAATCGACTATCAAAGGAGAAATAGCAGAAGATATTAGAGGACGGACTCAAACAGCAAACCTTAAGCTTTCCCGGCTACCAGCCTTCTGCGATTTTGAGAAGAGAATGAGAAGACTCCGAAGAGGGAGAGGACACCGGTCGGTCGTTTGCTGGAGCAAGCCGAAGAGGAGAGAGAAGAGGGAGTTCGGCTAGGGTTTCGGCAAAGAGTGAGGAAGAAGGGTTGGCTGGGTTTCGAGTCGCGAGGAAGGCGTGCGATCGGGCCGCAAATGGGAGGAGCCGAGAGAAGGACCCGTAGGTTTTGGGATTTAGGAGGTTTTAATAGCTTTTTTTTATATATATTTTTAATATTTATAATTTAAAATCCTCAATTTGTGTGTTCTTTGTTCAGGCACGAAACTATATCGAAAAGGGTGTCCTCTTTAACTAAAATCGATGGTCCAGACACGCTTGTGCGGTCCATTTTGTTATCCGTGGTCGTGAGGACAAGTAGTTGAATAAGAGGGAAGAGCGCTTAGGGCGGAGGATGCAAGCAAAGATGAAGGAAGATTCAAAGGAGGACACGAGGCACGCGATCGAGGGAACGACTGTAATAGAAGCAAATGAAACGCGGCCCTTGTGGGTCATTTTCCGGGCCGCTTCTTTAAGAATTAGAAAACGTTGTTTTTGGATAAGCTGGCGAAAAACGTGAAACAAACACTACGCCGGTGTTTTCAAAACACTGCCCGTAGTTATAAGTTGTCCTAAATAGGCCCTAAATCAACTTAGAAATAAAATTTATAAAAGAAAAAAAAATTAATTAAAATGGCACAAGAAATTAATTAACCCTTATCAAATCTCCAAGCCTAAAGTTCAAGCCGAAAACCCATGATATAAGGCCAAACCCTATAACTCCATAACCCTAAAACCAAGTATCAATGACTTAATGAAATCATCAAGAAAACCAAATGAAATCAAAATTTAACTAAGCTTAAGACAAACACAAAAGGACAAATTCAATGACGTTAAATTCCAAAACCCAAGACATGACACCTAGGCAAACCAACCCAAGTTCAATCCTTAAGGAGCCAAAGCCAAACAAAAGCTAAGATTAGCCACCCAAAACATACCTTCTCCAATAACCTCAAGAGCCTCACATGCAACCTCCAACTCTACTTCCATTGGAGTTCCTCGTGCCCAAGACTTAAGAAAAATGGAAAAGCTTCATTCTCTCTGACCACCTTCTTCCCAAGCTCTGATGAGCTTAAAGAAGATCTCCCCAAGCTCCTTCATTGATCCTGATACACCTAAAATTTATAGCATTTATGTACACATTTTTATACCTATTATTAAGGATATTGTACTTTCATGGAAGATATTTGTGTGTTTTTCTCTCATGTACAATCAGATTGTTGAAAAGTTGTGAAAGAAATGAAAACGGATCAAATTTGAAGCAAAAAATGAAAAAGGTGTGCAAAAGAACTGTGGCGTCTAAGCACCCAGAACTTGCGCTTAAGCGCCAGGAAAACTGAGAAGGTCGCACCTAAGCACCACATACCTTGCGCTTAAACGCCAGAGGTAGTTACTTGATGATTCAACGAATTTGGACAAATTTTTGAAAAGGTATTTGAAACAAATCTTGGTGAAAATGTGGGATATGGTTAATGGACACAAAAATACATTCAATTGGCTTTTGAAATGAGACCACTTTTGAAAGATTCATTGAATGTGGACACATTTTGAAGAGACACCAAGACATATTTTGGAAAATTATAAGAGAAGACTTAGATTGGATTGAAAAACTCTCTCTCATATACGCCTCCCAACTCCTTAGAGAAACTCCTACATGCCCACCATAGCCACGCCACCAACGCCTCTCGCATAGATACTCTTAGAGAGAAGAAGAGAGAAGTTGTAGTGTGTGAGTAGAGAGTATTGTAAGAGAAAGGAAGAGGAGATCCAAAGGAACTTCAAGAATTTGGTGGAAAGAATTTGAGATAAGTTTTTATGTTTGTGACTATATTTAGTTTTAATTTATACTTCTTGTTTATTTGCATGATTTCTACTTTTAAACTTAAGTGTGGTTGTGTTTTTTTCATGAATTCTGAGTAGTTTTCTTGATTTTTTTTCTTAAAATGATAAGTGATTAAGTATTGGATGAAAGTTGTGTGAAGTATTAATCTTTAATGTTGGAATAAGTTGTGATGATTTTAAACCTTGTACTTCATATATTTTTTATTTGGCCAATTAAGATGTAAATATTTGTTGTGAGAACATGTAAGATCCATGATGGTATTGTCTCAGTCAACTAATGGTAAGAATCACATGAGATTATTTATATGAGAATGTAATTCATATGGTCGAGTGCAAATAAATAGGGAAATAAATTTTGAAGGGTGTAGAATTATAGGACTTTAGAGTGATAGGCTAAAACCCCTAATTTAGTTTATATGTTTTGGTTTTGATACGTGATGTTAGCCCCTAGGTGGAGGGAGAAGAGGGAACTCTAGAGTGAAAGCTAGTATCTTCCCTACCTAGCACGTCTACTAGATGCTTCAAACTTTAAATTAGCCAATGTTTTTTTATAGCATCTCTAGTAAGGGTAAAGAATACTATTGCTCCTATTTGACAAAACACAATTTGAATACTTCAATAACAGAATTTTTACACTTGTTACTGATTCATGATAAGGAAAAAAGAGATTTCATTTATATTGTCTTCATCTTATAAAAATCTAGTTAAATTTATTTAGCTATTTTCTTTACTTTCAATTATTAAAAATTATAAAAAAAAATTGAACTTTCATTTCTATTATAGCATCTATAGTTTGAGTAAGAATATTTTGCAAAGTAGAATTTGTTATCTAATTTCAATTTGTTATCTAATTTTATCTAATTTCTTCTGACTTATTAAAAGATTAAATTTCTCCCTGTAAGTTCGATATTCAGGGTTTAATCAAAAAGTCATATAATACTTGATAACGATACATCTTGATAACGATACATATACTTAAACGATACATATACTTAAGTAGTATCCCATATTTAAATATAATAATTGCATTCTTATTTGCTTCAAAGTTAAGTTTTTGGCGCATTTGTAATGTAAGAAATATAAGTAAGGAAAAATTAAGATTATAACTGCATATATCATACTGTCATATAAAATCGAGATCAGGTTTTTTGCGCCGCTACCGGGGAGAATAAAATTTTTGAAGAAATTTCTAGAAATAAAATTTCTATTTTTAGAAAGTCTTATTTAAAATTTTAAATTTATTATAGAAATGTCGTAGTGTTGTTTTTATATAAGTTCTTATTTTTGTGATTATATTTTATGTTATTTTGTATTAATGTCTGCATAGTTCAGGTTCTAAAGGACTAGTGGTCTAATATTTTGAATTAGAAAGAACTATTAGAAATATCAAAAAAAAATCAAAAATATTGAAAAATACCAAAAATTTCAAGAAATGACAAACCAAAATAATAAAAATTTTGAAATTAATCAAGAATTTAGACCTTTAAGAGATTATGGATGAACTTTGTTGTAGTATTCAAAAACCTGTTGTGGTGGCTAATTCATTTGAACTTAAACCTGTTATTATTTAAATGGTACCAAATAATCAATTTGGGGGAGCACCAACTGAAGATCAAAATTTACATCTTGCCAATTTTCTAGAATTATGTGTTACATTTAAATAAGATGGTGTTTCAGATGTAGCTATAAGACAAACTTTTTCCTTTCTCACTGAGGGATAATGCTAAGATATGATTAAATTTGTTAACACCTGGATCTTTCAGAACTTCGAGTGATTTAGTATAGAAATTCCTTGCTAAATATTTTCTATCATAAAAACCTACAATTTAGAAATGATATTATATTTTTTTGTCAGTTTGAAGGGGAATCTATTTACGAAGCATGAGAACAATTTAAAGAACTCCCGAGAAAGTTTCCACACCATGTTATACAAGTTTGATTAATTATTCAAACTTTTTACAATTGATTAGTTGGATCTCTTAGATCTATTATCGATGTCGCTGGTGGTGGTTCATTGATGTTCAAATCATTTCACGATGCTTATGCTTTAATTGAAGAGGTGGCTACTAATAATTTTCAATGGCCTTCTAAGAGGGTAAATCCTAATAAAGTAGCTAATATTCATGAATATGATGCTTTTGCAATGTTAACAAATTAAGTTGCTACAATTTCAAGGAAGTTAGATGAATTTAGAATAAATTTTTCTCAACCAATTCCAATGATTGAAGAGAATTCATTAGGCCAAATTACAAATTCTCAAGCATCATTAGAAACTTTGAATACAATAAACAACAAGCCGAATAACCCATATTCAAACTATTATAACTCAGGTTAGAAGAACCATCCTAATTTAAATTGGAATAATACTTCAAGTTTTAATAATCAGCAATGGAGGAATGATACACCTAAAATATATAATTTTTATGTACATATTTTTATACTTATTTTTGAGATATTGTGCTTTTAATGAAAGGTATTGTCAACACTTTTTAGTTAAGGAGTTGCCCGTTTGAAGCTGTCGGTCGCTGGAATCAAAGTCTCGTCGCCCGCTTCATCTTTCATAGTTCAAATGAAAGAGCACTACACCTCATGCTATGCATTTATCTCGAATGATAAACACAAGACTTGAGGGCGAGGCTCGGTCAAATAAACTAAGAAATATATGACATCTGTTTGGTCTGTGAAACCATTTTATTATAAGCTGATAAGTTCCCCTATTTAACATGGAAAGTTAAAGAAGGTTTATATTAAGCTTGGTTTGTTAAATTTTTCTATAAAGGCAAGGCTTTATAGTTAATTAGATCTTAGATAACTGAAGTCACCTAAAAATACTCTTTATAAAAATCAAGAAATGTTCTCTTCAAGGAGTTCAAAGGATAAAACTTTTCAAAGAGATCAGACAAAGAGGTGTGAAATGGGAATGACTCAAATTTGAAACATTTATTTTGGAATCCAAAGGAAGAAGGATTAGGTGATGTTATGGATTATGGTTTAGCTTCAATTTAGAGGAGAAATATTAAAATATTTCATCTTGCCAATTTTATTAATTAGGGCTTACATTCATGTGAAACAATCACACAAATAGTCTGGAAGATGTGAGCATTTAGGTCGTAACGAATGACAACCTCAAAATCCTAAAGTGAATTAGGGCTTATATTGTATAACAGAGCCATACAAAAGGTCTAAAGATAAGTTGAGAATTTATGTCGCACTAGGCGGACAACAAGTCCTATGGCTTGTTTTTCAAATATAAGGAATTGTTTAGTTGGTGTACACATATTTTGCT